TATATTTTTATAATATATAACTCACTGATTGTCGTGCATGCGATAACCGCTGTCGACGCTAAATATATTCCGACACGTCTGCACGCTTGCCCAATAAAAATTCCAATCATCATCGGGACTCACTTGCAACCAACCGCGTTTCTCGAAATTATTTACCAACACTGATTTGTCCAAATCGGTGCAAAAACTTATGCGCATACGTTCGTGTGGTACCGCATTGCCCGCTCTGCGTGGAGTTTTTTTCAATTTGTATTTTTTAAACATTTCAAATAATACGTATTTATATAATAAGTATTTTAAATTAATAAGTGATTTTTCGCTCAGCGTATGTTAGATATGCCCCAAACTTATGCTACTCTACTATTGTATTTATATGATGTATGCACTCAACTCACCTGCCATACATTTAGTCAATTCTATTCGATTTCAATTGTTTGATTTACGATATTATGCTATATTCAACGGTTGTTTGACTATGATTTATTTGCTAATATTCTTATCGAAGTGGAGTTCGTTGCAATCAAAACAATTAAGGATCGCGAATGTTGCGCTAAATGTCCTATTTAAATGCTTTAACACGGCTTTTCAGCTGTTAACACACTTACATATGTACATATGTATGTGCATTTGTTTACACTTCGGTTTATTGAACCAACATGCGCCACGTAAGGCTGCTAATAATTTTGTGTTGCTAAGGATTTTTTTTTACCGTTATTTACTATAATATTTTACTAAAAACATGCGCTTTGACTTAGTCTTTGACTGTCCGAAAATATGTAAATTTATTTTTCGTTGAGTTGTTGCTTTCTATTTTCTATTTCCCAGTCAAATATACAGACAGAAAATAGAGCAATAATAAACTGAAAGAATTTATTCACAATTTATGCTTACTTTTTCAAGCATCTAAATTTGTATGTACATATGTAACTTTTATGTAAAAGTGTATTCTTTTTGCCTATAAATATTTAATCTTCTGCGAGAAGACGCTAGCTCTCCTTCCATATATTTGTGAGGAGTAGCTCTGTCAATGTAGGGTCGTGATATTATCGGAAGCTTATTTATAGGAGAAATACATTGCGAAGATCAATATTACATACAGAAAGAAACAAAATGTAAATATTGCACACGTATGTGCAACATCAGAAGTTTGAGCTGTTATATATACATATAACTAATTATAGTGTTAATAGGATAAATTAAGTTTGCCGCGAAATTTGTAACACCTATAAAATATACATATCTGTCTGTATTTAAGTGAATGAGTCCCCCAGTTTTTGAGATATCGATTTGGAATTTCGTAAACGTCCTTTTCTCCCTAAGAATCTGCTTATTTGTCGGAACCGGCGTTATCGGACCACTGTAGGCAAAAACAGTACAATCTCCGACAATTTGTTTTAGATCGGACTAGCATAGCATATAGCACCCATACAAAAAGATCGATCGAAAAACAGTCCTTGTATAGAACATTTTTTTAGTTGATATCTTCATGAAATATGGCATGGATTATTGCCCGAGGCAACGATACATTCTCCAAAGAATTTGATCAGCATCAAATTCTTGAACGGAAAATTTTTTTAGTTGATGAGATATCTTCACGAAATTCGGTACAGATCATTGTCTGAGGCCACGCTACAATCTCCTAGAAAACTGTACAGATCACACAATTAGCATATAGTTGCTATATAAACTGACAAATCAAAACTAAAATTAATTTTTTTATAGCCTTTTTTGCTATAAAAAATGCACCTGGAGGATACTTGTATTATAGCTTCGGTGCAGCCGAAGTAAACATTTTGTCTTGTTTTAACTAAGGTCGAGCAAATTGTAAAGTTTTGCTAGAATAATGGAACAACCCTTTCTTACTTTTTTCTGCTCTCGTGTTACTGAGTTGAAATTATCCTCTGTTCTTTATTTTAAAAGTTCAAGGCACAATCAACTTTCTATTATCTTTTTTATGTATTTGAGTTAGATAGTCTTCGAAATTTTCCTAGTTTTTCTTTAAACAGAGTCTAAGTAATATAATTTCTGGGTTTCTAATGCTAGAGCCCACAAGTTTTCATAGGTTTTGAAATTTCTTGCGAATCCCATCGACGTTAAAAGCGTTATCTCGTCTAATTGTGTTGTATTCTGTATGAAGATTGCAGTTTTAAAACCCGGATGAACACAATCGTCTTAGTAGCAGGATCGAGAATTAGATTTTATGTGACAATTATCTCTACTTAATCGCAAAATATCCTTTTTTATCTCCAGAGACTAAATGGTCAATTGTGTCTTGCACATTTTGCATACCTTCCTATTTCATATTAAGACGTTGTAAAAAATTATAAAACGCCATAATACGACAATCTCGGTAATTGATATATTATTCTAACATATCAAATATTTAAATATATATACACGTTAATTTTTGTATTATAGTATTTCAAAATTACTCAGAACTCACCTCACATAAGCTCTTTACGAATTTTACCAAAAAGAAAACTTCGGAGCTTTCCATAAGTAAAGTGAAAAGGTCTGATTTGCTTAGTGCTCAGTGATCAATCAGTATTTTATGGTGACTGTGTGTGGAAGTACATAAATCAAGAGAGCTTTCTAAATATAGCACATAGATGAAAATACATTTTACATATTCACATTCAACTAAGACCATATTAATTCTAAAGAAACTGAAAAATATATAAATATTTTAATAACTAATCGAAAAAAGGAGACCGATTGTGCATAATTCAATTATGAAATGGATTTGCTTTTCCTCAGCAAACGTATTTTCCTTGGTACCGAGCAGGGCTTCTTGAACGGTGGCATTATCGTCGACACAGAGGGCATAATACGTAAGATCTTGCGCACTGCACAAGAGGTGAATACGTATGTCTACAACACGGAATCGGAAGCGGTGAGTTTAGCGCTTAGAGAGAAAGAGAGGCGAAGAGAGTGAAAGTGATATTCGGATTGTATTGTTTTGCCGGTTAACAGGCGGTTAAATGATCTCTTTATACGGATACTCTCTATTTGTTTTGAATTGTCGTAGGTCTATGACTTTGACGACAAAGTGCTTATGCCGGGTCTGATAGACGCCAATGTAAACATTAGCGAACCGGGGCGTAAAGATTGGGAGGGATTTGTGACAGCAACGAAAGCGGCAGCTGCCGGTGGGTTCACAACGATCATTGATCGGCCGACGTACGTACAGAATATATTTGTTAATAAAATGACGTAAAGCCCGAAAAGACCTTTTCAACCAAGAACATTTTTTTTAGTAACACTATACCGCCAACAACCAGCGTCGCGGCGTTAAAGGCAAAAACCGGTGTGGCGCGTGGAAAGATTTATGTAGATGTCGGTTTTTGGGGTGGTTTGGTGCCTGAAAATGTCAAGGAAGCTGAACCGCTACTAGCTGCTGGTGTTATAGGTCTACAATGTACGCTTTCACCTACACCGGCGCCAGTTGGTGATGCTTTTCCCGCCATAAATCGAAAACAGCTGGAAGAGGTGATTGAAAAACTAGAGGACGGAACCGTTGTAGCTGTAAGAAACCCACAAGACGCGCACGAGTTGTTAAGAAGCGCTCTAGTATTGTAATTAAATTGTATCCCAATTTTAGTTTAATGCTGAACTTCCTTTGAAGACTCCAATCGGACCTGATGAGGAAGAGCCAAAAAAATATGAGTCTTTCTCGCGTACACGTCCCACCGAAATGGAGGTAAATGCTGTGCAATTGATCAGCCAATTGGCCACTGCATATAAAGGGTTGGTCCAGTACTAAAAATTGTACCAAACTGCTATTGACCACACCACATTTCTAGCAAGCATATGCATATCATGAATGTGAGCTCCGCAGATGTGCTGCCCATTGTGGCACAATGTAAACGCGCTGGCGCTAACCTAACCGTCGAAACTTGTCCACACTATCTAACGTTGTCCGCCGAGCAAATTGAGGATTGTCACACGGAGTTCAAAGCCCAACCACCAATACGCAATAAATCGAATCAAACAGCACTGTGGGAAGCTTTGCAGAATGGTTGTTTAGATATTATCGCTTCCAATCACTCGCCAGCGACGCCGGGTGTTAAGTGTTTGAATTATGGTCGTGCACGTGGAAACTTTTTGAATGCCTGGCCGGGTATTTCGTCATTGCAATTGGGTCTCTCAATAGTTTGGACACAGTGTCAGAAACAAGGCCTGGGCATGGAGCACATTTATCGGCTTATGTGTCAAAATCCCGCCGTGCTCTGTGGTCTATCGAGTTTCAAAAGCAAAATTGAGGAGGGTTATGATGCCGACTTTTGCATATGGGATCCGGAAGAGGAGTTTAACGTGTCGCCGGATATGCTTTTCTCCACCAATAAGGTATTTGGGATTTTCGAAATTCGAGCATTTATATTTGCATATTTTTTAACTCAGGCTACACCCTACATGGATCAACGCTTACGCGGCGTAGTGCATGCTACAGTTGTGCGTGGCTTACACGTTTATCAGCAGTATGAGAGCTTTGGTCAGCCGCTGGGCAAGGTGTTATTGCGTAAAACCACTAAGAAAGTTGTTAAATTTGTGCGGATGTAATAATTCCCGTTATAAATATGAAGACTCATAAGTGTTAAATTCTTATAAACTCAGACTTGTTTCTTTCATCTATATCCAGGAAGTATCCCACATGACTCTAATGCACTCTTTCCATGCCTGCGTAAACGCCCTCAACAGTTCCGGTGGTCTAAACTCGTCGAAAATGTTTAGTTTCTGCTAGAAAAACTATGGAGTGTTGTTGTACCGTTTGAATTATTCAGAACTTTTGTCATGATCAGCATGTTATAATCTTACCAATCTCACCTTAATCCCACAGAAAATGACATAAGCCCAACCTAACCTATTAAGTACCAGCAGCTTCAAGAACCCATAAAATACTTTTTAGAACTCAGGCTGCAAGTCAAAGGCTATTCAACATATATTCCAACGAAATGTTATAAACATAGATCTAGAAAGATTCTAGTAATTCCAACTGCAAGTCAGAAAAAAAATTTAAAAATTTAATATTTTCGAAATTTTGCTACATATGTGCGTATATATCATATATCATAGAATTAAATCGAGCAATGAGTACAAAGAGTAGTATAGGAACCAACTATTATCCAGTCTAAGTTCGTCTTCTACACAGTTTTTGTTTACTTCTTCAACAGCGAGCTAATCAGGCTTAACACATCCGCTTGGTCCTTCCGCCATACGTCTTCATCATCATCTGATTTATCACTGTAAAAAATTTTACTCTCATTTTCCTCTTCTGCTTCATCAGGTAATAATGGATTTTCGTTCAATTTTACATGTGGATGACGACATTCAAATATTTTCGAATAGAATATTAACTTTGTTTGCAATATCGAATCGATAAAATATCTCTGGAAATCCTTGCTGCGCACCTCATGCCGACCATACGTATGATATTGTCTACGATAACCCTCAAAACGATACATTACTTTGACGGGATAATTTTTAGGCAAATGTGCCGGTACAATAGCGGTGAAATGTACATTAGCCACAGCTAAGGGGTTGGGACAAGCCGGTGTGGGTTTCGAAAAAGTCGCATCTAGAAAATATCTCGAACCTTTATTTGGCACAATAGTGGCTTTGTCATTGAGGGCGAGCGTAAATTTCGTACATTCCGATAAATTCCAAAGATATATATAATCGCGTACTTGCTGGAATATTTCATTTACCGAAAAGTCCTGTATATTAACCCAATTAATACACTTCTCCTTATATATAGCATCAAAGCTAAGAAAGTCGGGATATTCCTCTTTGGTATCGGGTACAATTTTCGGATCAGGATAGAAATATTCACCTGTGACATCATTCAATATCCATTGCAGCGCTGTACAGACTGTTTCGTTTACTACTTTCTGCATAACTTGCACAATCTCATCCAGTGAAAGTAAATTGATATTGCAGCTGGAAACTCTAGGAAAATCTTCATTGCATACGCTGCAATCGTAACGCTGATGGCGTGAGCAATTCATATTGTTCGCTTGAAATAAACGTGCAGAAATATACCAATGTTAGCATAGACTGACAAAATTGAAAAAATATTTCTTGTTTTTAATTTTGACTTCACCAAAACTGATATTTTTGTAGTTTTAATATTTTTTGTTTGTAAACCCTAAACAGGGTATGTTAAGTTTGCCAAGAAATTTGTAAAATCCTGTTGAAAACGTTGGAGCATATATAAGATTTATATATGTAAATGGTCAGCGTGACAAGCTGAGTCGATTTAGCTATCTCTATCTGTCTATCCGTCTATGTATACGCGAACTAGTCCCTTACTTTTTCAGATATGAATCTGAAATTTTGCAAATTTATGCCAAGAAGCTGCTCATTTGTCGAAACGGCCGATATCGGACCACTATAGCATATAGCTGCCATACAAACTGACTGATCAAAATAAAGTCCTTGTGTGTAAAGTTTTTTTATTTGACAGGATATCTTCACGAAATTTGGCATAGATTATTGTCCAACACAACGGTACAATCTGCGAACAAATTGTTCACATCGGAACACTATTGCTTATGGCTGCCATACAAACAGATTGATCAAAATCATAATATTTTTATACCCTTTTGTGCTATTAGAAATGCACCGGTGAAAGGTGTTATAACTTCGGTGTAGCCAAAGTTTACTCATTTTTTTGTTTTTCAAAACTTTTACTATAAAAACAATGAAAAGTATGTACTCAAAAACTGTTTTTAATAATTTGGCATAGCTTAGCTTGCAAAAAAGTTGTTTTTGTTCCAAAATAAAACAGTACCTCAATAACTTAGGGAAATTCTACAATAAATGTCCGTCCTTAAACTACATCACTATAAATGCAACTATTTTCCGAAGTATTAACCTCCTCTTTATGCAAAGCATTACTTTGCACTTCTACCACTCTCCAGACTTCTAAGTACTCTCAATATAAAAAACGTCCAATAAAGTGTAAAAAATTAAATTCTGTATTTATTAATGTGATTAATATTATTATATTTTTTTACTTTTGCTAAACAAAAGCTTTCGGGAGTATTATTTGCAAGTTAAATAAATTTAACGCACTTAAGTCTATATACTTGGTACTTAAAAATATTTAAGTTACTGCTACATCTATTTTAATACTTAAATTTCAATGTTTAATTTTTATGGTAATTTTCGTTGATTATTATTGTTTTTTTTTCACTTGTCTTAATAACCCAACACTCAGAACAGTGTTATTGTTAGTTTTACCATGATTTCTAGCTGTGTTCCAACAGTTCTACATGCATACAAACAAACACTACACTATATATATACTACAGGCATATTTTCATTCATACACAAAATATTAGCATTTCATATAAAGCGTTGGCGGAGATTAACTTAGAAATTGATTAAAATATATTTTTGTTTTGCCTTATAACCTCATATAAAGCCACCTTGGTTGTGTCTATAATCCTAAGCAACTTAATAGACGTCAGTCAGTAATACACAAAACACCTTTAAATCAACCGATTTGTCACTACCACTTTTGTATTAACTAGTGTGGCACAATCAACGTGCCACGCCACCCGATACTTCGCGCTGTGATTCGTGCGCTTCCGTCTGTCCATAACAGTATTTAGGCAAACCATCACGATATTTGTTCTCATGCGCCACCGAGTGTGAGTTCGTGCGACACTTGACCAAACACAATTCGAAATGATCCTCGACACGCGCATAAACAGCAGCCTGACGTCCAGTAATTGTGCCCAACACTAGCTCCAGCAGTGTACGTTTCGAGGGATGTAGACAGCAGGAGACACAATATTCGTAAATATCACAGCAATGTGTTGTTGTATTGCATGTATCGCATGTGTAATATTGCGTTTCGGGCACTTCGATGTCACAGCAATTGCTGGGCAACAAGAGATGTTCGCGTCGACAGAGAAAACCGCGATCATCGACGAGCAAATAGCGTCCTTGCACCGAATTGCGGCAGTGTATGTCTGGGTCGTTGGTGCGATTCTGTGACTCCTCGGGCAGTAAGTGTTCCTGTAGTGTCCGCCAGATAAGTGGGCGTGTGCGTTGCACGGTAAGCACATTGTCCGCATGCAGTGCGCGCAGACCGCCAAACTGTTTGCGAGTAATGAAGGGAGGTGAGACATTTCTTATTTGTATATACATATAATAATATATATATATAAATGTACAATTGCACTTACCTTAAGTAAATTCGTTAGTAAAAATATTAGGGCAAGTAATGTGATGGTTATATAAAGGATACGTCGGCCAAGAAATCGTGGCCACATTGTCCTTTGCTCTCTGTTTGCTGTGTAAAGTTCACTGCTGGCACGCTAGCTGGTGAATTTGCTGTGACATAGCGACTCTCAAAAGTTACTATGACTTATGCGCCTCCAATTCGTTTGCACGAATGTGTGCTCTCCATCTACCAATTAGCAATGTTTCAAAACATTTTATAGTTTTGCTTGAATGCTTTTAATATGAAGTTTTCTGCATACAATGTGACAATAAATTAATATAAATTTCTTTTTCTTTCTTTTTAACGGAGAAATGCAAGTACGCAACGATACAACAAAACAAAAGCAATAATCAGACAACCGATCAGCTGTTGGTAGTGATGCCACCATGTGTTGTTGAATTTGTAATATTTATTGCGAAATTTCTGATGCAACTAAATTTTAAATAACATTTAGAGAATTTTTCGAAATTAAAATTTTATTAAATAAAGAAGTTTAAACTTTTAATTTATTTAATTTTAAAATTACATGAATTTGAAGGGGCACACACTTATTTCTATGTAGTGCTATGAATTCTTATGGAAAGCAACACTTGTTTATTAAAGCTGGTTTGTGTCTTTGATAATTTTGGGTTATTTTTGTATGTTTAATTTATTTAACTAACGTTTACTTCCATTATTGAATACATTGCTTTAACAAAAAAATGTGGATTGTAACTAACATGAAAGTTAGATATTTTTTCCAGAAATTAACATAAGCAAAAAAGCCCAAACCTGTAAAATATGCTCTATGAACACAATATCAATTCTTCGGTAACAGTTATTCCCTCGACAGTCGGTTAAATGTAGTCGGAATGGTTCTGGAGTTTATTTGGACAAGGACAGTAAAATCTGCAGCATTCTAAAAAAATTATTGTTCTACAACAACAACAAAATAATCAAGTATTTCATACGCGCGTATTACATCTGCTTATATTTTTTTTTGTGATGGCAGATCATTTTTCAGCAGTTTCCACGTTGAGGATGGCCTCAAATCTATTGGAAATCTATTTTTAATACTTGGAGCAAGAGCAGAATAATAGCCTAGGGTTATGAAGACCTCGACGTTTTCGTAGAATACATTTTATATATTTTTATCAAGGTCTTCCTATAGCTGGTTGAATATATTGTATAACAAACATATAACAAAGGCTGAAACAGAAATTATGGTTTGATGACACATACGATGAAGTCAGTTTTGCCAGAAATATATCAATATATTACTATTACGAAAACGATATCGTTATTTAAGAGGTTTTGAGAGAATTTATAGACCACCTGCGAGTTTCACAAAGCGGTACGCTTGGGTTGCATCTTGGAGCTTAGCTACCATACCTAACTGATCGAATTGGGAAGGAATATCCTGGTTGTTTTTCATATTTGTAAACATCCTTTTATTAAAAACATAATAATTTCTAAATATTTCACGGATATTTACAAGCGCTGTATATAAGTATAGAATGAGTTTCAAAGTCTTATTTTGACTCTAGTTCTAAGTATTTCTTACACACTTAATTTTAAGCAAACTGAGAGACTAGTTCTCGAAGATACAGACAGACACACGGACATGGCTAAATGGACTCAGCTCGTCACGCGGATCGTTGTTATATAAATAGATATAAACTTTACTTGTATAGGGTCTCCGAAGCTTCCTTTTGGGTGTTACAAACTTTGTGGGAAACTTTAAACAGCTTGGGAAGGTATTAATATTGCCGTAGCTTATTATTAGACATTTTTGGCCGAGCTGAAATTGATTTAAGATTTTAGCTGAAGGTTTGTAGTAGTTAGTGTAGTAAGAATTGTACTCAGAGATAAACTATCGAAGGTCGAACGCTTACACTAAATCTTTATCTATAATTTAGACCCGATATGCGAATCACAGGGGCTTCGGGGTACTACTACAAACGCACATATTTTGTTATTTTGTATATTTTTTTGAGATTAGTCTTAACTAAAATAGATACACTGTAACCTTACACTTACATACAAAGTATGAACATTACATATTTATCTACTAGTGCCACAAATGTTAAATGTGTTAAGCTGAAGATGACTGCAACGACGAGCACGTCTACTACGGCAGCAGTCGCTATGATGACAATCAACTGCAATTGTGGCAGACGCTGCTGTGTTTGCTGCCACAGTGTAAGAGTAGTTGCGTTCAGCTACTTTTGCTAAGTATTAATGTTATGGCATTGCTTGACGACAGCGTTGATGTGCCACCGTCGGGCCACGACAGGCGATCATTTAAATATCGTGCGCTTGATTGTGTCAATCAATGTCAACGTATTTTATCGATTTTTTTTCTATGTTGCCGTTACATTACTGCAGTTGTGCAAAAACAAAATCTGTGCTATATGTTGCTGTCACTGCCGGTGCATCAATTCCCAGCTATTCGCCAGATCGGGCCACCAACCCACTGCCATCGTCTGTGACATTTCGTTGTATTTCTTCCGCTGTCTGCTTTTAAGTTGGATGGGCTCTCTTCGTCTGCAATAGACTCTCTTGGTGCAGCAAATAGCAGTTGGCGCAATTTTTGGGTATTTTTAATATATATATGTATGTATTTTTTTTTTGATATTTTGCGCTGATATCGCACTTAAAGATCAATTTGATTTGCAACACACAAGTACACGCGTACACACATACACACTTCTGCAAGCTTTAAGTAAATTTGGCTACCGCAGCGGCACAATGACCGCCCTCATAGCTTTCTGCCATCTCCCAGCCCCCACCTGTCTGCCCAAATTATTCGCTCGCTGCAGTTGATTGAAGACAACTATTTGCCGGCGCGGCGTTGAATTGAGTTTGAATCAAATTGATGGCGACGTTGATGTGCAACAATAGCAACCAGAATAACAATAACAACAACAATGCTGGTTTTTGTTTAATTTCGCTTTGTTTAGCGTTTTCAATTCTTCTCGTCTACATATTTATTTACTTGAAAATTAGCGTAAACGAAATATTCGCAAATGCCAAGAAAAAGTTTTTAGCTATTATGCAAAAACAAAAACAAAAAATTATACATATATAATGAAATTTAGCAAAAGTAATGATTGCGACGTGCTGCAGCTAGAATAGGTGAGGTCAAGCGCTCTTTCTTCATCCGTTACACAATAAGAATTTGAAATCTAAACAAAAGGTGGACGCAAAAATGCCATGAAAAGTTAATAATCGCGTTGCGAAGTGAAATTGAATTTTATTTTTAGTTTTCCGCAGTTTCATTAGAATTTGATTTTTCGTTTCAAGTGGCTAACAGGTGATTTCGAAAATGAGCTTATGGCAATCAATTGTAATTCAAAATATTTGGAAGTTCAAAGAATTCTAAAATTATGGTATTGACAAATTCTACCACCACTTACTTAATCTTAATGTACTTTTTCAAAAAAAAAAAACAAAAAAAAATGTTAAAAAACTAAATAAACTAGATAAACTCTACTCGTTGCTTCATAAAAAAAATGTTGCACTTGAATATTTTAATCCAACTGCTTTCTACCAATGTAGACTAGGACTTACTTGTAGACCATTTTTTGTGAAAATTCGGTAATTCATAAAGAATGCTTCCTTCATTCTCTCAAGGAATACTGGGATTCCATTGATAACTTTGCTTGTTAATACCATATTTTTAGGCTACCCGGTGGTATAGTGTGGTCTTATTTTGCATTTTCTGAGAAAATTTACCATAGTAATGAATTTAGTTTTAATACTATCAGAAGGTAAAGATTTCAAAAAACTTAAAGTCACCTGACTTTTTAAAAAAATTTTATATTTAATGTGAGAATTTTTGCTTGAAAATAAGTGTTTTTCGAGCTTAAATCGAAGTTTGTTTACTGCTTAATATTTTCAATACAGTGCGTTTGGGTAATAAGTAAGAAGGTTTACACAACTCCTTTAAAAATAATTTTGCACAAGATAAAATATTTTGGTTATTAAATTGGGTTGTTTAAATTTTCACACAAATTTTGAGGTTTTGTAAAAGGTGTTAATACAAAGTTGTAGATCTTTTCAACTATACTACATCCTGTCCTGTATTTACCCGTTTTAGCGCTTTTTTTTACTCAAAAGTGGGATAAATATATAGCATAGATAAATCCTATACCAGAGGTAGTATGCCCCCAACATTTTAATAACTTTAGAAAGAAGTTTGAGTTTAGACTGATCGACCTTATTTTTGAAGAGGCAAGCTTATGGAGGCTCGGTATTCTTGCTAAGCATGAAGAGCGAAGTAGAATATTAAAAGATTTTATCAATTTAGGAAATAAATTAATGAAAGGATATTATTAGTAGACTATTGGTAGGATCAACGTAGGTGAAAAATTAAAAGCAAAGACCTATACTAGACCTACGATAGAAAAATTGAACTGGTAAAATAGCTGTTTTTATTTTAAGTTGAATTTTACCTAAATTTTGGTTGTTTTTAGCTTGCCAAAATTCGATTCTTGATCAGATCAAACCATTTAAAAACATATAGAAAAACTTGAGAATACTGACATGATCAATTATGTCAATCAAGCAAATTTGAAAATGTAATTCTGAGTAAACACTTTTAAATATTATAGGTATAAACTCATGGAGCTGATTTAACTGAGCGGCTACACTTAGAAGTCTGTAACTCAAACACTTTTGAGATTCGTTAAAATCTGAATTGTTATTTTAAAGGTAAAATCTATCCAAGTTTGAAAAATTTTGTTTTAATTTCATACCAGGTATATCTCTAGCATACCACCATAACGACTCCAGCGCCATCTACTGAAAATATTTCTGGTTTGACCATTGTATTTCAATGTAATTGATATGATCTACTTCTAAACTAAATTGTATGCAAAATATAGTTTCAAAATCGGTATCCGTCGCCACTAATTGGTTATACTTTTGAATCGAATATTTAATATTATTTGTGTGATCCAAATGGGAGGCATACAAACCACCCTGAAAAATTCGCAAAAATGTGTAACTTATACCTTTCCATTTAAATAGAAAAGTGAATGCATTTCAAAATAATTGACCTAAAACTAAACTAAATAGCAGTGTATCGGCATTGGACAGCCTAAATCGAGTCGAAATGAAGATAGACAAGTCAGAAAATCGACAAAACAACTTCAAAAGCAGTTGAACTTGCACAGCCTATGATTTTGGCGCAACAAATCTTAAACCGACACAAATAATATTTAGTTCAAGCAACTTGGTGAACGGTAGTGCTCGCGTAGCGCTAAACTACAACAAAATAAATCAAACCAAAAGTGTTGTAAATGTGCATTTCCAGTTACTTTGAGGCGGTGTGAAAACATTTAGCCAATGACCTTCCGCCGCCGAGACCCTGAACTCAATTTCGTGTGTAAATGAATTTTACTTTGCTTTTGCTTCTGTTCACCGTAGTTGTTGTGGCATTTTGGTTTTCGCAAAACAAATGTTTAATTGC